AGACTCTACTTCGGATTTGAGTGCGTATGCCACAAACATCCATCCATTTACACCGTACACCTCCGAGATTTGTCACATCCAAGCACTGTACCAGTTCTTTTCTTTCTTTCCTTCCGACTGTAGTCTCGGCGTCATTATGACATGTTTCGCCTTCAAAGATTCGTGAGACCCAAGTACTATCATGTTCTTTTCTCTCTCTCTCTCTCTCGGTTCAAATTCTTGGAGACTTGTTCTTTCCGACGATCATCGACCCAGCTTGCACCATGAAATGTTGCCCCCGACCCTCGCGACTCGGAGTGAGTCCCTTTGGATCCGGTCGACGCTTCCCGCCAGGCCGCGTCCCGAGCTCCGGGGCTCGAAGGTCTTGTCCTGGAGTTCGACATCTGCTCCAGCTTCGATGAGGCGTTGCACCTCCGCCGCATCGCCCTGCAGAGCCGCTCGGTGTAGGGCTGAACGACCTGAGACACGGGCTGGGCACGACTGAAGACCTCTTGAACATCGTCGAGCCCTTCCGATCCGACCGGGTGAGACGTGGAACTTCTTTGGTCTAACACCTTAGTTGTTTGATTGCAAGAGCCCCATGCGTCTGTTGAAGAAAAAAGAAGGTGACACACACAATTCTCGCAGACATCGTTTCTGATGTTTCCTTATATAAGTAAATATTCCAGGTATATCTACATGTACTTACTTAAATATTCCAGGGTATACACACTTTTGGCTATATTATTCCAAGGTATCCTAACCTACTTGATGATCACTAATTTTCCATATTTTTGAAGATCTCAAAACATGAAAAAATTCTCAGGCTGACACGCGCACACACAGATTCTCAGGCTGCCGTGTGTGGGCAAACGACAGAATATTGACTGAAGACCTCTCTTTGAACATCTGAAGACCTCTCTTTGAACATCAAATACTTACGTGACTGAAAGTGTTCAAGTTCAATCCTTCTCAAAGTGTATAAGAGTCTTCATGCTGATCCAGCAGGCAGGCTCAAAAACAACGGCTACTGTGCACATTAAAGCGACAGAAGCCTCTAGGATATACCAATAAATCATGCGTCGAACAAATTCGTCAGCCCAACCCAACAGCTTCAAATGCCCATTGGGAATGGACTGAGCTCCTCACCGTCCTCATCAAGGTCCTTGCCGCTGAGTTGTGTCAGTCTGTTCTGTGGTGATCTGCTGACAATGCAACGACACAAAATGACACCATCTCCAGCAGCTGTCTGGATTTCTGTACATACACTTGCACAAAAGCACAGACCGTTTATGGCGAACCGAAAGCGGATCACTTGGAAAGAGCCTAGTATATTGAATCATCAAACGCACAAACATGCACACACAAACACTTCAACAGTCCCTACGTTTAACAAAACATCGCTCCATCATTCTAGGTGAGCAAGGTTTGGGGCAACAATGCGTGCGGAAATTGTGGGAAGCTGTCCCCAGCTCTGCTTCTACGATTGTCCACTCGGACTGTGCATCAGGATGCTCCCCAGAGGGAAACAAATTCCAAGCAGTGCAAACGCTTTGCAAACATTGATCCTCACTGCTTCTGTGACTTGCCACATCCAACAAGTTGCAGCTCTTTCCAACAAACCCACTTCTAAAAACAGTTAAGCTTGAAACAGACAACGCAACAATGAGCTCGCTGCGTGAACTGTTGCTGAACCTGGAACCTCGGATGCTAACTTGGACACGCCGAGGTGCTGGACAAAGCAAGGCCATCGCCTCCAGCTTGTTGTTTTCTTTAGCAAGGTGCCAGGGCGTCCGGCCTCAGTTCACTGGGGTCGAAAGCATCGGCTATTGAATGCGCGATTTTGAGTACGGCTGCCACAAACATCCATCCATCTACACCGTACACCTTCGAGATTTGTCACATCCAAGCGCTGTACCAGTTCTTTCCTTCCTTTCAGTTCAAATTCTTGGTATAATATCCTTCCGACTGTAGTCTCGGCATCATTATGACATGTTTCACCTTCAAGATTCGTGAGACCCAAGTACTACCATGTTCTTTTCTCTCTTTCTCTCTCGGTTCAAAATCTTGGAGACTTGTTCTTTCAAACGATCATCGACCCAGCATGCACCATGACACATGACATGTTGCACCCGCCCGATCCTTGTAACTCGGAGTGAGTTACTTTGGATCCGGTCGGCGCAGTCTCCGCAGCCTTCGCGCCGCGTCCCGAGCTCCGGGGCTCCCCGGCTGTCCCGATCATATGCTTCCACCGTGGCCCTCGCGGCCAAGAGCCGCTCGAGGACCTCCACGTGGCCCTTTGAGGCCGCAAGGTGGAGAGGTCTTTGGCCTCGGGTCGTGCGCGGAGAGAGGCATTTGAGTGGTCAAAAAGAGGTTGAGAACTGCCGGGTCTTTGTCCCATCTTCTCTTGGAGAATCCTGGGTGAAAATACCAGTGAAGACCCTACTTCGGTACAAACAACAATGAACAGCACGCTAGCGCAGCTAATGCCGATTTCTTTTTGCTGTTACTGCGGGGCCAGGAATTGGATGAGCTCTGAACTTGTGTGTGGGGTAACTTTCGCATTCAACACAGACAGGGATGCGCTGCATTGTTTTTCATGATTCTGGTTGTTGTGGGCTGCCATTGGACGGCTTTCAAACGTATGGCATTTGGACGTTAGCCTTGTTCGTGCAATTTTTTCTGCCAATCACCCAATCTTGGACGCCAGTTGTCTGCCAATGCTGAACGCATCCTTCTCCCTAAGCAGATCCCCCGAAACACTTCTCTTGAACCCGTTGATCCATGTGGCTTTTCGGGGCAGGTCAAAGCGGACGACCTTTCCCCATATCTCAAGGTTTATGCAAAAGCGGTCAAAGACACAAAGCCTCTGCTGTGCACCATCTGGAGTTTGGATGCCACAAAGATCCAAGTACTGCCAGTGCCAGTACACTTTCATGATTCGTGAGACCCAAGTACTAAACCGGTCAGTTCTTTTCTCTCATTCGGTTCAAACATCTTAGAGACTTGTTCTTCTGGCGACGACATAAATGACCCAGTTTGCACCATGAAACGCTTCACCCGACCCTCGTGACTCGGAGTGAGTTACTTTGGATCCGGTCGGCGCAGTCTCCGAAGCCTTCGGTCCGCGTCCCGAGCTCCGGGGCTCCCCGGCGGTCCCGATCATCTGCTTCCACCGTGGCTGTCGCGGCCAAGAGCCGCTCGAGGACCTCCACGTTGCCATTTTCGGCCGCATAGTGGAGAGGTCTTCGGCCTCGGGACGCGCGCGCGGAGAGAGGCATTGGAGTGGTCAAATTGGTCGAGAACTGCCCGAGTCTTTCTTCTAATCCTGTTCATGACCTGACTTGGGTTCCACCGCACCAGCACAGTGTAATAGTGACTTTTTTTTGGGGTTGCCCAGGGGCCAGGTGTGGGATGAGCTCTGAATTTACGTGTAGTGCAACTTCGCATTCACAAACTAAGACATGGGCACGTTGGGTTGCTTCTCATGATTCTAATTGTTGTGGGTGAAACTGCTGCTGCTACCCTTTCCTAAGTGGCCAAGGTGGGGGGCAGGCGGAGATCAAAGCGGCAGAGGAAAGGGAGAGCAAAGACACCGACATGGAAGAAACTGGCGAGCGCCAAAAGAGCCAACCATCGAAGATGTGACACGTATGGTGGTTCAGGACGAGCTCAAGGATCAAATGTATCATTTTGCATCCTATGCCCTATGCGGCCCATATGGAGAAGCAGAATCAGCAGCTCACCGAACAGGTAGCTATGCTGGTGAGTACTCTGAGTACTCGGAATGCCACGGAGTTCATTCCCAAAGAATCTCCTCAGCATCCAGTTCCCAGGCCGAGCCTTGCCAGGTTCGAAGGTGCAGCAACAGACTCGTCCAGACGAGGCAAACATCGCTCCAGGTCTCCTTTGACAAGAACGTCGCCAGAAAGTGTCAAGAAGGCCAAGCACGACAATCTGCCAGTAGATTCTGGAGATCCAGTGGACCATGCAGAAGTGAAGCGTTTGCTGGCAGGAGTGTCAGAAGAGGCTCAATCCTACTTCTTGCAGAACATGCAGAGCGAGCCGGAGAAGTTTCCGACTATGGCCAAGGTCCGGGACCTAATCCAGCAAATCCATGGACTAGAGCAGAATCACAGACAGGCCTTGCTTGCAAACGAAAATGGGGGCATCAACCGGGCTTCGCTGGCACTTGTCCCATTTGGGGCGCCTGGGCTTGCCTCCTTGGGGAGGCCACCTGGCCGGAGTGGAGGTGGAGAACCCCCTTTGGGAGGAGAGGAGATTCCCATTAAGGAGCTCAGTGATCTGGATGCATGACCGCTGACTATGGTGGCTTAGATAGCGAATTGTTGGATAGCACTGGTCCAGGGTTTGAGGCATGGCTCGATGAAGTCAACCATGGATCCTTGAAGTCAGTGCATGCGGCTGGAGGCTGCAACTTGTGCCAACATTTCGAGAGTTATGTTTCACTTTGTTGTCCTTTTGAGACTTTTGGGGATAGTCTCGTTGGTGGCTTTTGTTTACCCCCCTGGTCCTTCACTGGACGGGTTGACACTTTCGGGATTTGCGGGGATGACCCAAAGGGTTTCTTGCGAAGTTGGACTTGGCTGGTGGGCGAACTTCAGAGCTTGAGTGGATTGGGCTCTGACCTTTTCCGTGGTTGCCTTGGCTGGGTAGCGATGCAGATATTCTTTCTTTTCTGGTCCCTTTGCCTTCTTCGTGCATTTGATCGCATTTACGAAGCTGGACGTTTTGTTGGTGGCAGAGTTCTTCGAAAGGATAGACTATTTCTCCTGCCACCATGTTGGATGCAGTGGAGTGTGGCATCCTCAATGGGGATCAGTGCTCTGATCTGCTTTCTGCTTCTAGAGAGCATTTCTGAAATTCGAGAAGATCCAACCAGCGGTGTGCATATCCTGCGGGGTCTCAATTTGTCCAGAATTGTGGGATCCTTTTGTGCCTTGTTGGTATTTTCCTGAGAACTCGAGAAGAGGAATGTTTCAGGTTGCCTGGCAGGTGCCGAAAGGTCCAGCGAGTCAGATGCAGAACTGCTTGCTTACAGAAAGCTGGTTGTAAGAAGACTGGTTTCTTTTTCCTCTTGATCATCATTCAGGCTCACGCTTTGGATGGTCATAGCGAGTGGCAAGTCAGGCATTCTTCTGCAGCTATGGCAACGACTACCTACCAGAGTGACTGTTGCTCTATGGATTCGAGAGTCCCTCTTTGTCTTGTGGGGGACTCTCCTTTCGACCATGCTGTGACGAATCAGCAAAAGAAGACTACGCTTTCTCTCATGGCGGAGCTCCTATGGATTTGTTTTCTGGTCGTGCTGAACGAGAGAGTTTTGTTTGCTCACGTTTGGATGCCAATAGCAGCAGAAGTTTGCATGAGGCATATATATAGTGAGGTTTTGAGCCAAATCGATCTACCTGAAACTGATTATATTGATTCTGTCAGTCTGATGCAGGTTGGTCCACCTCCTGATGATCTGGTCTCTAGTTATATTCGTGAGATCACCAGAGCAAGCATGCCGGTGATAGATCATGGTACCACCCATGAGACCAACTTGGAAGATGGCAGTCCAATATACGTGATGTGTACTTTGACTTCCAATTGCCTGGAGCTTCTGTGATTCGAAGTGTGGGGACGGATTTTTGGTGGAAGAACTTGCCTTGTGGTACTGGTTCGACCGGCTCCCAATGACCATGGCTTGACCATGCCGCATTTTCTTGTCCTTACGCTGAGTGATCAGAGGTATGTTCCTGCACTTCTCGAATATCATGATGCCCAACAAACTCGGAGAGGTAGCTTTATCTTCCAGACTATGGGCTTTCCTACTATGTCTTGGAGTTTCCAGCAAGCCGAGCCCTTCAACCAGTGCGTTTGGGCCACGGACTGTTCTATTGCTGTAGGCAATCATGTCGGTGCGAGGCTCTATGCTTGGGGTGAACAAATCCCAATCTTTCTGGTTCTAAGAGAGACTCAAAGGCTCAATGCTGGTGGTGAGGCTACTGACGATAGTGATGGACCTCCATTTGGCAATTCTACATCATGTGGCTCTGAGGGCTATGATGTTGCTACAGAAGGATCAAATGATACTTTTGCTGACTGTGGTAGTTTTGACGAGGAGCCTGATGACACAAGCACCATGATGCATCTCTTTTTCACAGTGGGAGATGACGATGACTGATGTTTCTGATGTTTCTGCGCATTTTGTACCCCAGTCTTATCATGGAAATGTTCATGCTGCTCTACCCAGTTTGGAGGCGGCTGATGCTGTTCGGCTTTATGTCAGTGACAGACTTGGTCTGCCGAGAAGTGTTGCCACGACTGTCTATGTTTGGGGTGTCAGCAGACCGAGACATGAGATTGCTCTCTATGCAAGGCGATGTGCTTGGGTGCCTGACAAATCCTTCACTCAAGGGCTCATGCGAGAGTTAGAGGATATTGCTGGATCTGATGTTTGGGGTTTCACTATCCCCTCTCCAGTCATGGAACCCATCTCGCTGCGTGCCTTTCCCATTGACTTGCTGGGCATGCCAATGTATCATGTGATTGGACTACCTTTGCCGCGCAGGGTTGCTGTCCATGTTGGACCTGATGGTAAGCTGCTACACATTCTCCAAAAGCTTGGCATCTCCTCGGCATGCCAAGCTAGTGGAACATTGTGCTTCTTGGAGGTTCCATCCAGCGATGGGACAAGATTCTGGTATATAGATCAAGCTGTTGATGAGCTGCATGGGACTAGCATGCTTCTTCGAATGACTGTTCAGGAGTGTCGCCCTGGCCAGATCGCTCGAGGGATCACCTCTTTGGAAAGGGGAGACGAGAATGTGCTTTTCCAGCCTGCGCTTCATCAAAGGATGTCGGTTCTTCGCCAGGACTCTAATCCCATGCGAGCGGATGAAAATTTTGAGGCTATCGTTCAACGCAATTTGGTTTGGCATGAGCTGCGACGCAGGATTGCGAGACGCACGGTCTTTCGCCAGTTCAAGCATTTGCGGGATGAGGCCATTGCCTTTCGAGCATCCAGGGGACAATTGCCTGAGATTGTGATATGTGGCATCATTGCGGATGAGGTCTCTTTCTGGAATTTGGAGGCTGAAGGTCTGCTTGTCTCGCCTTCCTTTGTTATTGAGGAGGTGCAGACTCTCCTTCGTAGCTTTGTTGAGCCCCCTGTTTCAGTGAGATCTCATGTGGTCCTCGCGGCTGTTAAGCCTTTCCCTACTGTGCATGAACACGATGGCCAGGATGATGTTTATGTTCTGATTGGGGAGGACCTTCGAGCTGATGATACCCTTGCTCTTGTGGCTATTTGGGATTCTCGTT